GATCTGACAAGATCATACAACAGAGTGGTAATGGTGCTGTCGGTTTCTACAGTGAGAATATTGGATTAACCCTTGTGTTATATTAGGGACCTTATAGACATGTCCATCATGGATATAGTCATTATCCATGACTATATCATTATCCATGCTGCTCATTGAGGGATTTTGTCTTGAGTCTCCTTCTGGGTTACTTTTAGTGACATTCACCTTGAGCAGGAACTAGTTAAACTATTGCACATTACAAATGCAGAATGTCTGAATAATAAGGCACAACTGAGGCAATGTTAGAGTCTCCAAAACTCTGAATTATTACATGGTTTCTTACATTTAAGGTTCGTTTGCACTGTATAGCGAGTTTAGCATTCAGGAATCGATGGATTTAGGTTTTGCTGTGACTGCAAATGCTGAACAAAAGAGCAAACAATCTTGAGAATGTGAGACAGATATCATTAATATTGATGACTGGATTTGCTTTGTGTGCTGTTTGGGTTTGTTGATTGAATTAAAAATAATCTTTCCCGTCACCCAAGCTTCAGACCCCTTTCTCACATGACTGTTGATCAAAGCCTGCACACTCATGTCAACTGTTTTAACTGGTGCCAGTATCACTAAGCAAATACACTGTGCAGGTCCTTCTGTTTGCACAGCCCAGCTGTAGACTGATAAAGTTCCTGAAAACCTGTAAGATAAAATTGAACAAAAGCTGTATATCTCTAGGCACCTGTTCAATGCAGGCTCTTTTTTTATTCCTTGAGCTCTAATTGGATTCAGTTGAATAATTGGTGAGATATTCAGTTTAAGCTACTGTACTATTTTGCAACCCTTCTGAAGTGATAGAAATTCTGCATCTTGTTTTGATGACCTTAATTAGACATTTTGTTCAAGATGAATGGCCCAACAAATTGGTCCAACAGTCAGTCACCTTTTACCTTTTAGCTATTTTGTACTAGGTGAAGCTGAGCTTTTGCTGTGGGTGCAGTAACCAGTAAGGCTTTATCAGCTCTGAAAGCAGACCTAATTTAGAGGGTAGCACCCTTTCAGAGAGTTCTCTTGTTCTGATGCCTACACTTCCACGACTACAAGTGATATCAGACCTATTGTATTCTATCTATCTTTAGCTGTTGCATTACAGGATTTCTGCATAACACACCACTTTGACAGATCAATAGTAGCTAAGGAGCATCAGGCAGAAACCGAGTTTATAATTCAATATAGTTTTCGTCAATACAGCCTAATACACTACTTTCTTGGTGTTTCTGAGTCTCTTATTTTTGAACAGATTTTAAATAGTCAGCAGTTTAATTCTGAAGTATCTTAATATAAAGCCAAGTTTGCCATTTACTGATTAATCCAATGTCCCAAACAAGAGCTGTGATGCATTTTTAAAAATATATAATGTCTATTAAAAGATCTGCCTTCCTTCAAAATGTCTAGAAAATCTGACTTGAATTTATGCATCAACATACCCAAAGTTTGGTTGATATTATGTGCTTGTATTGCTATAGTGCACTGATCCTTTTATGCTGCTATCACTGCTATAATGTGTTTCTGTACTTCCAACAAGGAATAATATTTTATTATAAGTGCCAAAATATGTTGGTTGCTTGTGCATGCATCAGTCTTATTCACAAAGATTGTTTTCTTGCTCTCTCAAGAAGTGTTCAATGATTATTCTCCATATGATCGGATGGATTAGACACTGTGCTGTACCCAAGTGCCTAAAGTTAGTGCAGTTGGACTAAGCATGATTATTAAATGTAATGATGTCTGTCGTTAAGCAGGTACAGTAAGTTTGATTTCGTTTAGTCTCTGTAACCTGTATTTTTTGTATCCAGTAATGTAATTGTATTAAGTGTAGTAAGTTGGACTGGTGATGGTGTATACTTAATACTTAATTTCAGATATTAGTGCAAGAAATTATTGTCTTATGTCAAGTACTATCGGTGGCCAATCCAGTCCTCAACATTAGATTAGGAAACCTATTTGAATAAGAAGGCTCTACAGCCGAAACATTGTTTTCTTTCTTCTCTTTTCAGCATGGCATAAACCTACAGTATTACTTGTTCCTTTGCAGCCTATTTGAATAAAGCTATTTTTTGTGTGTTGAAAGTTGTCAGTGCATCACAAACTTCAGACTCAAATTTTCCTGTCACAATCATGACAGAATTTCAACTTCAGTTATAATTGTTCTCCACGATACCATGATAACACTGTCTTGAATAACAGCTGTTACATTTGGTTCTAGGATACCAACCTTCAAAGGTATTATTTTGCATTTGCTTTTAGAGGTATTTAAAATATATAAGCTTTCAAAGCTTATAATAGCCAAATAATAAAAATAAATCATGCTGTGTTTTTTGCATCATAAAAGTACTAAATATTTTTGATGAATCTAACTCATACTACTTTGGAATAACTATAACCTGAATAAATCCCAACACAAATTTATTCCAAAATGCAGATGATATGTTTTAACTGGCATGGAAGCTCTGTATACGAAGCAAGGAAACCTTGAGGTTTCCCAAAGTACTATTTATGTTGCATATACTGAGAAGTCATTAACCTTTAATGACCTTTAATGACCTTAACATCACAACATCAGAAGATGAACTGCTTTGACTGGGATCCCTTTCCAGATGGCATTTACTGTATGTAGCTGCACCCATCACTCTTAGTAATCCAGTAAGTCTGATTTTTAGAGTTGTAATGGAATTTGGCCAATTAAAAAAAAGGTATTAGAGTTATTTCTCCGCTTAACATGGAAAGATGCTTTCCTGGAAAATGAAGAGTAAATAAGGAATAAGTCATTTAAGAACTCGTTTCTCATAGTAATGCACCTAAATAGGGGTGGGGGGGGGGGCATTCTTGATCTACTCCCAACCAGAGGGTTTAACTACCAAATAAAAACAATTCCAAATTGAAAACAATGTGTGGTTGTACTGAAAGTCGTGTTTGAACTATTTACTGCATTTGTGACTGCATCAGTTTCCTATAAATGTGTTAGTGGTGGGTGTTGAAATGTGTGGAAAATGCCTGAGCAATGTGCCCATAGATGCATCTGGACTGTTCAACTATCTGCTCATTTTACTCTCTCTCTGAGCTTTTAAATGCATTTATTTTAAAAGGCTTTTTAAAGTTACTTTGTTTCATATACGTATTCTTTCTATTTCATTTTTTTTCCCATGCAGTAGGTTTGATTGATGGTTTTATTGATTTTGTTTTAGATAATTTGACTAAATAAAATTAAAAATATGGAAGACCTAGCTCCAGGCAATAACAATATACTGTACTTGTAAAGTACAAACTAAGCTAATAAAGACATTTTATAGATTTATTTAGCAAGCATGAGATGACGGGAGATGAATACTGGAATCAAGGAATAGTGGCTGGAAGAACACAGGAGTCAAAGATCTCCCAACAGCCTTTGAGTCACCCAAGCAACACTATTCATCTCCTTATGCTACTAGGTGGGCCCAGAGTATATACTATAGTATCAAACTCTCCATCAGCTTTCCTGTAGCTGGCTGCAGCCAACCACAGTGAGAATTAACTCTTCCTAAATTATTAAGTAGTCTATAGTCTTCAGGCATATTAAACTAAAAACACAGGAATGAAGAGCTACTAGATCAAGAACTATCTGTATCAAAAAGACACCAGAGGTATCTGCTTCTATTCATTTTCGGCAGCCTTGTTGTACACGATGAATGAGAGGAAGGCCTAAGGAGATGAATATGAAAGGGAACAGAGGCCCTTCTCAGGGGCTGCTTATGAGGGATTAGATCACTTTTGTTAATTTGATGTGTTTTTAATTTGTAAAATCGAATTGATAGAATTTAATTGCTAACAGCATGGTTGAGACAGTAACATTTCATTTTCACAGACCATTTTTTTTGTCTGTGTCGCTCCATTTATTTCTGTTACAGTTAGTCAGATCCATATGAAAGACATAGACTGCTCAGTATAAGTTACTGTATATTACAGTTTTAGTCATATTTCTTGTTTTTTTTTTAACAGATGTGCCACTGCACACCAGGCATCAAACTGTACGGGGATTATGCCATTAAAAAAGTCACATGCAATTATGTCATTATGGAAAAGTCCTGAATAGTCAGGACTGATTTTATACCCCTTTCAGGGAGATCACTAATCACCATTTTTACTATGGAGAAAATACAAATGAAACCAATTGTGAGCAATAGCAGTGTATTTAAAGGTTGTCTGTGTTTTTTTAGATTGAGATTACCCTTCGACATTAATGGTTGAAAAGCAGTGGAAAGTTTTGTTCTCTGTATTTCTTTGAAATGATTGGCAGTGACCTTTTTTTGAATATTGAGACATAAGCATAGGCATCAATAAGCTGATTGCAGACTAGTAGACTCAAATATAGACTTTTCAAAAAGAGTTGCATATCTGAGGGTAGGTGATCTTGGTTTTCTGTTGAGAGGGAGGTGAAAGCCATCTGTTAAACTGTACAAGATACAAATCCATCTCTTCTCTTTGTCTAAACTAATGAACCAAGGGTCAAGGGTGCAAAACAGTATATATTTAAGTCGTGGATAAATAATAAAGTAAATGGTAGATAAACCAAGAAATGGGTATTTTATTTCACACTTTAATGTCTCTAGTCTAACATAGTCATCTTGTTTGTACCCTTTCTTATGGTTCTTGTATGATGATACGGTCAGTAAAAATAAAAGTTTTTCATGGTCATACTCTATATTTTAAAGTTTTAAAAAATATTTAGTTTGTTTTAACACCTTCATGGCCTGTCGTAAAACAACAATCTTAAATATTGCAGTTTTAAATTCAGAAATCACAACTCATTGTAACACCATGAGCACTCAAGATAGAGGCATACATTTACAGTGAAGTGTTATTTTGAGAAGAAGATACTTTGCATGAAAAGGCACCACTGAACAATCTAAATAAACAGCATTTTATGATTATCTAGAAAATTCAGTTACAGATCACTTATCTTAACTATTTTCTTTATTCCACAGCATTTACAAAGATGATAACAGTAAATGGTCAGGAGTACCATCTTCAGCTTGTAGACACAGCTGGACAGGTGAGTGGCCTTCATTAGGAGACAACTGCTAAGTGACGTTCTATTTTTATATGTCAACTATTAAAAGTGGTACTTTCTGGAAGTGCTGTGTGTGTGGTAAACTGAGCTGTGGATCAAGTAACCTATCAGTTTTTAATTGTACCCCTGCATATTTTTATTTTCATATTGACTTATAAGCAGTATTCAGATTCAGAGTCATGATCTTTTTTTTTTTATTTCATTAGTAGTAGCAAAAAGTTTTACTTCTAATGCCAAACTGTTTTACTTTTTGCAGGATGAGTACTCAATTTTCCCTCAGACATACTCCATAGACATCAATGGATACATTCTGGTGTATTCAGTCACATCCAACAAAAGGTAAGCTCTTTCCCCATTCCCTTGGATGTGTACCCTCTGTGCTGTAGGTTCTCTATACTTATCCATTTAAACTCCCAAGGAACAAAGTGTGCTAAGACTGCAGGATGTCAGCTGTGGCTGGGTGCCATACTGTATACCTGTTGCCCAAGCTAGTTGAAGGTAATGTACTCTGTTTTCAGGGATAAAGTTCAAGGTTTCATTATTAAATCATATAAATTATTTCTAGATTTTTAGGTAATAAAGTTTTTCTAAAATAAATTCTCTTTTAATTAGATAACCACCTGTATTTGTCAGAGGTATTGAGTAATGTTCTGCACACCACATTTACATGACCTTATTCTTGAAAACAGATACTGCTGAGGCTATATAACATATCTATTCCAGACAACTAGAGCTTCGGTGGGCTTCCAAGATTTGTGGTTTCAGACTGTTTGACCTGAGCATGAACTGAGACAGTGGGAAGGAACTGAATATGTTAAATTGCAGAATTATACAAATCTAATTTGAAAGCTTAGTGGTTGTAGTTTACATTTGATATTTTAGTAGATTTATTACATTTTCATTCTTTTGCTGTGAAGTGTTTACCAAAATGTATCCACAGATTTTGAAATAACTTTAAAGCCTTCAAAGCAAACTCTGTTTAAGAGTACCAGTAATTAATTCTGTTTCAGTATGTACTCTAGATTTTAGGCATAATAAAGCACTCAACATGCTGTAATGCATAACATTTTGGCATCCCTTCCAAGACGTATTTTACTTTTGTACAGTAACGTAGACTTCTTACACTGTCTTTGAAGTTGGAAAATTGCTATGTGATATCACTAGTAAAGAAAAGAATTAGAAAGTTTTACTCAAGAGTGATTTCAACTGTATTCATAGCCTTATTAGGTATTTTATGTTCTGTACTTGTTGAAATGTCTGTGCAGAATAACACAGAGAACTTGAAACTCTTACAAAGTCAATATCCCATGTGGATAAACTGATAAACAGGGTAGAAAGTTGTTGCCATGAAAAGTTTAGGATTATATAATTTCTTATTAACCTTTCTTTAAGAACATTGTATGCTCAAGTCCTACTTAGAACTACTCAAAGATCCTGTAAAAGCAGTCATCACTGCAGTTTTTCTCTTCAAGAGAACTGGCAGTGACGTTCACTCTTTGCATACGCAGATGTTGTGAGAATATTGGTTTTCACACTGTACATCATGAAAGTGAAGCACAGCACTTGGATATTCTGTCTCAACATGGATAAAGATGTATTTTTTGTCCTTGTTAATGGAAGTAAGTAATGTTCAAAGGCAAGACAGTCCTCTTGTTGGAGGCGGAATTTGAAGTTTGTTGTTACTCTCTCCTCCAATTTCAGTCTCAGTCAGCAGTAAGTACCTTTGAGTTAAGAAGGGACAGTACAGACCTTTCTGACACAATATTTAAAGATGCTGAAGATTTTGATTCAAGGGCTAAATGTAGACATTTTCCAGTTCAATTTCAGTACAAGTATTTTTATTAATTTTCTTCTAAGATCGTCATAAAAATGATCCAGTTGTAACAGACTCCCTGTATTAGTGGAGCTTTCCTGACTCTCTTGGCTTCTCCCTCCAGAGACTACATGTTCCCACCGCATCAAAACTGCTGACTTTTGAGAATGCAGGATTGAAGATTCATTGAACTTTGTAGTCTTCAGAAGACTAGATTTTCCCCTAGGGAAAGCAGGACAAACTAACCACTGTAGAAATACTTCAGTTATACTGTGGACATGTGTCCATTTAAAAATATCATCCAGTATAATAAAATGTTATTTTATACCAAGAGTTGTTGGTATAAACTTTGATTCTCAGATCAAATATCTGCTAGCAGGCAGATGGCCTCCTTGTGTTTTTGTCTTTGTTCTTACTTTCTGACTAAAATGTTGAATATTTGCAGCATGCTGTATTTTTTCAAAAAGTTAAAAGGAATTTGAGTATGTGGCCAAAATATATGAATTCAATTTTTCTGTATAATTGTACAACAATGTAACCGAAAAGGGCATTATGTTTACAGATAATTCTTGGATGTCTTCATAATGATAAGTTATGGAGAGTTTGGATTAAAATTGGGTTGAGATGCCAAATGTGTTCTCTTTCTTACCTCACTGGTTTGCCAGAGAAGCAGTGTTTGTATGGTCCAATGCATTGCTAGTGCTGCAACAATGAGTTATTGATTTGATTATTTATTGATTTTTGTTGTATACATACAGTACTGTTTGGTATTTTCTGAAAATATAATTCTCTGGGTTGTCAGTCACGTTTTATAAGTGATGAGCATACATTTAAAGTCTTGTATTCAAGTAGTACCAGAACATTCTTTACAAATCCTGAAGTTGAAAGTTTCATGTCTAATGTATCTTTTTGTTACTGTTTGCAATTTACTAGTATACTCATGTTGAACATGTTAAAAGCATTTGACTACTTACTAAAATTCATATTTAGTTTTACTTTTATGAATGTCATTAACAGTTAGTTAGACCTATTTTGATTTCACACGGAAACTTTTCTTTTTGCTACTGATATTAATTTGACTCACTTGTGTGAAATATAAATGAGACAATAAATGAGCCCACTTACTCACTCAATATAAAATCTCCTGAAACAAGAATGCTCCGCATGCCAATTAAAAGGTCTTTACATACCACACTCTCATACACATGCCAAGGAATGACAAGCCTTCCCTTAAACTAAAGGTCTGCACACTCCACATGTTAATGGCACCATCTGTTTAGTGGTGCAGTGAATTGGGAAGAATTAACAGCAGAAATCTTAATTTAAGCAGGCATCTTTTATGTTGTCAGTGAAGTGGAAGGCAGTTACTGAAGTCTTGAACAAATGTGTCCAAGACCCTTTTTTTTCCTGTTGAGCAAAAAGCTAAGTTATGGGGTAAAATGGTGTGACCTCTGGTTGTATGTTGTATTGTGTGTGCTGCTGTGAATAGAGAAGGAAAGTCAAATTATCTTTTGGGCTCCACATGGAAATGGCACCTGATTCACTACAGATCATCTCCATTGTAATGCAGAATTCACTTTCTGCGGTAGGGAGTAGGGCACAACAGAGTTAAATGATCATACAAGCATCAGTTATGAATTATTTTATATTTATGCATATTCCTAGGCATGAATCTATTTTGTTACTCAGGCAAAGACTTCCAATTAATTTGGTGCATATGCACAACCTCAGTAGTAAATACTGAGGTTGGTTCATTTTTTTATTAGTATTGGTTCCTTGTCACAACAAAATACTGAATTCATGTCAGGTGATTTCATAAAACTGAACATTCATTTAACATTTAACTTTCAATATTTGGATTTCAAGATTCAAGATTCATGAAAATAAACAAAGGTTTGTGGCTTCAAGATGTAAAGCAACAAAATGTGAAAACTGTGCAAGGGTCTGAATACTTTTTCGAGGTACTGAATGTGTCGAAAAAGACCATTTTTTTGAAGCAGCGGGAAGCATACAGGTTTTTGCAACAGCTCTTTCAGCATGTACCAGTGACCTGAAGGAGCTGTCCGTGGTGCTGTTTCCCTGGTGTACTTTGAGAAACACCATTGAACCTGGGAAGCACAGCTGCAGTTATAGCACTTAAAAGCCATTGTGATTTAGATGAATAGCTCTCTGTCATTGGGAAATTATGGCAGGTGGGCTACAGAATGTGTGGGTTATGGGGGTGGAGGACGTGCTCAGGAAACACAATGAACCAGTATCTGTTTCCTTTACATCAATTGAAACTTTAATTTTAGCTTTGCTTGAAAAGTTCTCTTAAAGCTGTATCTTTAGTCATAGAATTTCTTTCAAATATTTCACATGCAGTGCTAATTGTGTTTACACAAATATG